AGTCAGTGTGCCCTTGTTGCCAAGAAGGCCAATGGCATTTTGGGGTGTATACGTAGGGGCATTGCCAGCAGATTGAGGGACATGATTGTTCCCCTCTATTCGACATTGGTGAGGCCTCATCTGGAGTACTGTGTCCAGTTTTGGGCCCCATACTACAAGAAGGATGTGGAGAAATTGGAGAGAGTCCAGCGAAGGGCAACAAAAATGATTAGGGGACTGGAACACATGAGTTATGAGGAGAGGCTGAGGGAAATGGGATTGTTTAGTCTACGGAAGAGAAGAATGAGGGGTGATTTGATAGCTGCTTTTAACTACCTGGAAGGTGGATCCAAAGGGGATGGATCTAGACTATTCTCAGTGATAGCAGATGACAGGACAAGGAGTAATGGTCTCAAGTTGCAGTGGGGGAGGTTTAGGTTGGATATTAGGAAAAACTTTTTCACTAGGAGGGTGGTGAAACACTGGAATGTGTTACCTAGGAAGGTGGTGGAATCCCCTTCCTTAAAAGTTTTTAAGGTCAGGCTTGACAAAGCCCTGGCTGGGATGATTTAGTTGGGATTGGTCCTGCTCTGGGCAGGGGGTTGGCCTAGATGGCCTCCAGAGGTCCCTTCCGACTCTGTTATTCTATGATTCAGTGAAGTCAGTGGAGCTATGCCAATTAACACAAGTTGAGGATCTGGCCCAGCATGCATACCAAAGTACTCTGTTTTAGGCAATTTTTTTCTGGACTTCGGAAAAACCCCCACCTGGGTTACAGAAAGTGGAAGTTCTTTATTTGTACTTTAACCAAGACAGGGATTAAATAACCCTTAAAGAAAAAAAATCTAGAAGTCTATATTTCATTCCTTGCATCTCTGAAAACTAAGTAAAATAAAATAAATCAATGTATAAAACTATATCCATTTACTCTTGGGTTGGTATTTCTAGTAACATTTTCATTTCAGTTATACACCCCAAGAGATCATGAACACGGTTAGGCTGACAAGCGTTAATATATCAGCCTTCTTTATATTTCTCTGTGGCTTCAAAGCACAACAAATGCTTTGAAATCCATCTGGATTTGTTGTCGTCAAGAATTTCAAGTGAGTTGTTCATAAATTAAGTTATTTGACAGGACAGAAGTCGTGATAAACAAAGCAAAATCTGTAACAGCTTTGGGGTTTTACCATATAAGCAGCATTATTAATCTATTTTAACAGCTCTAGAAATTATTCTAATTTCTGACCCTTTGTGGGGTCATTACATATAGGAGTATATTGAATTCTGAAATCATATTTATGAAGTATCCTATTTGTCTAAGTAACAAAGCTCAATAATGATCACTGGAATGCTTCTTTAAAATTCGAATACAAATAATAAAAAGATTCTAATACAATTCTGTCTTCATTGAGGAATTCCATTTTAATCACAGTTGGGAGACTGTTCTTTTGTATGGTACTTTTGCTTCCAATCCCATTAAAAGTTCTCTATAAGCTGAAACACTTCCCATACTGCAGCATGGCCCCCACAAAAAGCTATACAGCAAGTGATAAAGACATCTTTATTAGGCTTCTGAGTTTTGGGGGTTTGTTTTTTCCAGTTTTGGTTTGCAATAAAATTTATTTTTCTTTGTAACTCTAGTATAAAAGAGATACTACCACACACACAAATACAAGCAAATTCTGTATGCAGAGATAGGAGTGGAGGGAGATAAAATCTGTTTCTGTGAAATTTTATGTACCACTGCTTGGGAATTGGTACTGTCTCCTCTTTGGAGAGAGGTTTTTTTTTTTTTTTTTAATAAAGCATATGTCAAACTCCATTTATATACAATATATACATGCACACACACTTGTGTATGCACACATGTGAATCTGCATACACATTTTCTTTTATATAAGTTCATTTAATCATTTAAGGAGTCAATATGTTTTTCTTTATCAGAATACGTGACTCATTCCCATTAACGGAACACATGCATACAGAGAAAATAGACTTACCTGTTTGCAAATACTTCCCTGACCCAAATCAAATGGTAGAGTGCTGTACTTAACATCCACAAGACAGTTGTGAGTACAGTTATAAAAATGGCTTCCAATACTGGCTGCAGTTATTTCCATCTGCAATTGTGCATGCATTTAGTGGTTATCTGATTGCACATATAAGTTACTTCCCTTCCATCTTAATCGACTGCAATGGTATATGAAAATAACTGTGCCTACTGTTTTGCACTCACAAATATTATTGGCTGAGTTGAGGCCCAGCTATGCGGTGTCAGTATGATAAAACATGCAGTATAGGCTGCAATTAAAGTGCTGTATAGCTTTAGTTATCCACCCTGAACACACACGCCTCCTTACTCATCCTACTTATCACTTATTCTAACAGAGAATACGAATAATTGAAAAAAAAATGGCACTGTATTATGGGAAGGTTTCCTTAGAACTGCCAGAGTCAGAATGGGGTAAAACAAAGCTGAAAACCCAAATCTTTTTCAGAACTATGTAACTCCTCACTTAAAGTCCTCCCAGTTAACGTTGTTACAGTGCTGATCAATTAGGGAACATACTCGTTTAAAGTTGTGCAATGCTCCCTCATAACTGGCAATCGCTTGCTTTGTCCACTGCTTTCAGGAAGAGCAGCCCATTGAAGCTAGCTGGTGGGGGCTTAGAACCAGGGTGGACCGGCAGCCCCCCTAAGTTCCCTGTGCAGCAGCCGCCCAGTAGGCTATCAATTGCCAGCAGTTCAGCTGTCCCTCCCCCCACTGCCATGTGCTGCTCCTGCCCTCTGCCTTGGAGCTGCTCCCCAGAGCCTCCTGCTTGCTGTGTGGGGATGGGGAGGGCTAATGTCACGGTGTTCCCCTCCCACCTGCTCCTGCACCCCACTTACCCCTTCTCCATATAGGGCAGGGTGGGGACATAAATGGAGAGAGACAGAGAGAGCTTGGGGGCAGGAGCTGCTGCCTCAACTGCCTGATCCACTTAAAAGACAATGTACTTAAGAGTGCGGTCAGCATACTTAAAGGGGCAATGCACAGCTCTCTCTCCCCCATACACAGGGTGTATGTCTCTGTCTGCCATGCTGCCTCCCCTCCCTCCATTCCTGCTGCCTTGTAGAGTGTGAGGCTACATTAACAACAATGTGTTAACCTTTGAGGGCTTAGCCAAAAGCTAGATCATTTAGCAGGAAGGCATTCCCTGTGAAATATCCCACCCTCTAACTTCACCACCTCAACCAAGCTTCACAATCATCATTGCTGTGTACAGTATTAAATTGTTTGTTTAAAACTTATACTGTGTGTGTAAAAAAAAATTTCCCTGGAACTTAACCCCCCCTCCCCTTTACATTAATTCTTATGGGGAAATTGGATTTGCTTAATATTGTTTTGCTTAAAGTCACATTTTTCAGGAACATAACTAAAACGTTAAGCGAGGAGTTACCGTATTACACTTCCAAAACTATCAGGCATGATTGTTGTATGACACCAGCGAGCCCATTGGTTTTATTCTTCCACCACACAATGAACTGTAACCTAACAGCATTTTAAGGCTACTCTACAGTCAGTAATGCAAGATTCTTACATTAAATGAAGACATAGATGGGGTTGGAAAGCTGTGGATGAAGAACACATTAAAATTTTAAAACACTAAGCTATTGAGACCTGGAGACAACACATGCAGGGAAGCACATTATATTGACTTTGCTTCTGAATGTACTTTGCTGAAACAGTAAGGATTTCAGAATCTGTCCCTAAAAAGGGCACACCAACCACCCACATTTCTTCATTTTTAAAGGAATAAATTGCTGTGCCAAGATTCAAGACATTGGGGAGGGAGGAGAGGAGAGGGGCCTACTGTTTTCTGGCATATGTCTTGAACAGTGCTAGTGTTCGGAGCACAGCCACCTAGGGATGGCAGGGGGAAAGTGCTCTGATTTATTCTCTGAACAGAATCATTCTCTGGCTTTTTTAGAAGGTGAAAAATATGGAAAGGCATTCAAAAGAAAAATACGTTCCTAAGATTACACAAATACCACAGATGACACCAAAGAAGATTCAAACAGTGTATTTATAACCTTCGTAAAGATGAATTTTCTCTCTCAAATATATGAGAGAGAGGCATGAACTGCAAAATACTAGGCTGAATTTCTAGCTCCCTTTATTATTCCCAACTCCCAAAAGTGCAGGAGCATTCAGATCTGGGTTTTGGTTCAGGCCCGCATCTGCTAGTGTCCATGCACAACAGTACCGGTTTACAGAACTCAGCTATAATGAAAAGCTATTTATAAGGGGAAAGGAAAGAAAAAGTAACTGTACAATCAGACCTTAAGTCCAACACTGTTTCAATATGCAAGATGTATTTGCAATGATAATGAACCTCCACCATTGTGAAGTTTCCTGTAAAACAAAAAACCACAACACAAAAACGCTTCACTATAAAAGTATTTCACTAGATAGAAAATTGACTATTTAAATATTGCCATAATCTATCCTCTGAACCATACTCTGATTAATACACCAAGGTCCATAATCATTCCCACAGAATGTATGTAACTGACATCCCAGTTTGAACAGGCAAAAAAAAAAAAGTTGATTAAAGGATGCATTACTGTCACTAACTAGCTATTAACAATGGAAATCAGCCCCAAATGGCAAATCGGTTTCAAAAGGGATAAGTTTTATGGTTAACATTGTACAAAAAGGGAACAGTAAATGTAATGCTGAAAATGCAATGGAAATCCTGTGGAAACTGTCATGGCACATACATATTAATATTGAATGGCTTCATTGGGATTTTTTTTTTTCTATAAATACCAAAGGAAATAATAAAGATCAGCTCCCTCATTTTTAAAATGTTATGGTTTCACTGAACTGGAAAGGTAGTGTTTAAAGGGAAAATTATATACTACTGCAGGTGCAATATTAACAAGAAAGAAAAAATCCTTCTTTAAGAAACCATTTCAAGAACATAAGATCACAGACTAACCGTCACAAATGAGTTAAAAAAAAGCCACGCCCTTACCATGAATTCTTCGAGTGTCTGGTAGGTCTTTCCCCTGAACTCGCAGTAGTTCTTCCTCTCTTTGCACTGTGGGCAGCACTGACTGGTGTCTACATGAATACACCGTGGATGGAGTCTTGGGCACTCAGGTTGAATGCACAGAGGTCCCTCATCAGTGCAAAGGCAGGGGCAAGCAGAGGGACCTGGAGTAAACTTCTCCCCGATAGCGTAAACGAAGCCACTCTCATCCACACAGCCTTTCCCACGGTAGTCTGGATAGGCATACTCCTCTGGAGGCTCAGGAGTAGTACTAGCAACAACTTCTGGGAGGGATGATTCTTCAGCGGCCTGAGGTTCCTCTGGAACACCATCCCTTTGCTCCTGTGCTTGAATGTTCCCAGATTTACTGCTTGTTCCCTGACTACTCCAAACCTGTTTTTGCTTAGTCCAAGATTCTTTGTTTGAATAATTTCTGTTTCCTTTGCTCTTCCAATCTCTGGTGCCCTCTTCCCGCCCATTCCTTCCAATTTCATTCATTTTCCCTGGGCCTGTCTGACTCTGACTGTCCGGCCTGGTTGATGTATGATCCCTCTTTTCCTGGCTTGTTTTTATCTCCTGTTTGTCTGGAGCCTTGGCCAGTTTTTGCACAGGTATGGTGGAGCTACAGAGAGCAACCATGAGACAGCAGGTTACAAGAAGAGAACTAGAGAGAGCTCCAATTGCCATTGCAGTAGAGCTAGGCATCACCTACGGCATCCCAGAGGGACAAGAGATGCTGTATTCACATCAGAGAGAATCACTACGTAAATCCACAGTCCCTAGGAAGAGAACAATTAGGAACACTTCAGCTCACACATTTTTCACCTTGCATTTGTACCAATGCAACATCTCAAACAACATGCAACTTTGTTTGTCTTTTGTATAAATTATCAAAGATCTTGTGCTGCATCCCTCCCTCTACACTTTGCCTGTATGTTGTTTTATAGATTGCAAGTTTTTTGGGACAGTGACCTGTCTTCTTACATCTCTAAAAATGCTACACAATCTTAGTGAGGTATAATTAATAAGAGCTGGCATAAATCAGAGGGTTTTTAAAAATAAAAAAAATGACTGCTGTAAAGTGGATGTACCTAGAATCAAATGAAGCTCTTTAAATCACAGCAGACTCCAGAACAAACACCAACCATTCACTTCCATTTCCTGACTTCATGCATGACGATTTTCATTAATCTTTTATTCAGTCTGATAAGAGTTGTTTTAAAATAACTGCTAGTGAGCATTATTAAAAAAAAAAAGTAAGTACAAGCATGTTATTAAAGCCAGCAAAGCCAAATAGATCTCTTTGCAATTTCTAACAGTATGCATATGCTGCCTGTTTCTTCCTCTGGTTTACAACAGCAAAGCAAAATAGTTCAGGACTCTACAGCAGAGATTTATTTAAACCTAATGTTTCAGGAGTTTAGCAGAAGCCCTACCAACATAATTACCCCAGCTATTGATTTAAAATATATTTTAAAATTTTATGTTGTGGACAAAAAATGTGAGATGCTAGGTAAACATAAACAGCCTTTACAATTGTTTTCCAACTTTCTGTATAAAGTAACATTTGAGCTACCTTTGCACAAAGCCCTTTGAAAAAACCACCACCACCGATCAGAATATGCTTAGCCCTAGAATAAATGCACCTCTCAGCCTATCTCACATGTAGTTCTGGCAGACATATCAGATATTGCACTTTGCTGTCTGCTTTCTACAGAGTTTCTCATTGACGAGGCAGGTTAAAAAAAAAAAACACACAAAACTGATCCCCCACCACACACACACACACACCCTGATTTCTGGGGGCTCCTGTAGCTTGCGGAAGGCAAGCTAATATCTAAGTCAGTGAAAAGCAGAAAGCCACTTCTGCGTCTGGGAAACTGAGAAGAGATGGAGCAGGGGATAAGCAATTGCAAGACAACCGTTCATCATTCACCCTCCCCTCCTAGGGGGCTGCTCAAACTTTCCCATGGAAAGCAGACAGTGGGGGCTGACGAGCACCAGGCTATCCCAGCACAACCTACCTTTGCTAAGCCCCTCTCCAGCCCCAGGAGCAGCAGCCAGCTCTCTGCCTCGGTGCCTGCGACTTCGGTGCCTGCGACTTCAGAGCCAGCCCTCCCCTTCTCCGCCTGGCACTTCACTCCTCCAGCCGCCCCGCTCTCCCCTCCCAAGCAGCCCTCCCTCCTCGTCCCAACTTTCCCCGGCTGGGGCGAGCCGGCAGGAGGTCAGCCTCGGGAGGGCGGGGAAAGGCGGGCGGGGGCAGCGCCCCGTCACCTACATGCACGCGAGCGTGAGCCCCGCGGACCGCGGCTTCAGCCCAGCAGCCGGCTCCCGGCGAGGAGAAGCCGCAGCTCCAGCTTGGCTCCCGTCCTCTGGCCACACGGGGGGCGTGCGCGGAAGGGGGAAATCAGCTTCTCCGGGGACACGCACAGCGGCCACCGGCTGAGTCCTTCTGGGCTGCCCTCGCCTGCCCCCCCCTACTCCTCTAGCATCCTGGCGGGGAGCCGCCCCGAGCGTCACGCCGGACTCCGGGGCTCCCCGCAGCCCGCCTCTGGGCTCTCTCCGGCGCGGGGAGTCTCCCGGCCGCTCGCCCAGGCTCTGCTGTGGCAGCGGTGTCTGGCTGGCTGCAAAGCCCGGGCGAGGGAGGTAAGAAGCGAAGCGCCGCCGGCCGAGCGGGAGTGGGAGCTCCGTGCGCAGCCCGCCCTCGGCTCTGCTGGGGCCGCAGCGGGCCCCACCCCGCCCTGCTTCCTCGCGCGCCTCCCTTCAGCTCCCGAGTCCCGCCCGCACACACGCGCCCTCCTGGGATCTTACCTCCCCCTGCCCCTCGACCTCCCCTTCCGTCCTCTTTGCCTCTCCCCTGCCATGAACTCCTGCCATTGCTCGCAATTCCTCCCCGGGGCGCCGCCTCTCTTCGCCAGCCCCGGGGGAAAGCGAGGCACTCCACCGAGCTCAGGACGGTTCTACCTGTCTGCAGCTGCCAGGGAAGTGGGAATGGTGGGGTGTGAATTTAAAGGGCAAGAGCTACTCCTGGATAACTCCAGGTATGGCCACTCTTATTCCAAAATAGTGGTGGCCACACAGGTGCAGTGAGTCCTGGCTGACTGCAGTTGTAAACAAGCCCTTTCACTGATGTAAAACTGATGCAAATAAGGTAAGACTCAGGGCAGCACTCTCTCCTTTCCTTGCCAGTTCCTTCTGTCCCTCCTTCACTTTGCCTTTATTTATATTTTCTTTCTTTTTACTTTACAGAATTCGCTTTCCTTTTTTTTTTTTTTTTTGAAATTGGTATTTCACTCCTTCTTTCTACCATTCATTCCTCTCTGATTTTTTCTTCTCTCCACTTACCTTTCTCTCCTCTCTCCTAGTTTTTCCTGCTCTCTGCTTCTCTACCCTCCACCCATTTTCTCCTCCCCTTAGGTGACAGAACAATTTTTATAGTGGGGGTGATGAAAGCCATTCAACAAAACCATAAACCCTGTAAATGATGGAAACCACTTCAAACCAGGTGGTGCTGCCCTACCCCCAGCACCCCTAGTTCCAGCACCTATGCAATCCCCACTGAGATTCACAGTCCCTCCTGGGCTCAGCTGAGGCACCAAACAGAAATGACCTATTTCTGAGACTTCTGCCATCTATTTGCCAGGTCAAAGCCTTTCACAGGCAGACTCACCAATTGAGGGAGGAAAAAAATAAACAGGTACTTTGGTATACATAAAGCAGGTTGGATTCTCTCAAAAACAGACAGGAAACACAGTTGAGGTATTTCATGAAATTATGTACAGCTAGGTCGACACTCAAACCTGTGACAGTATAATGTCACTTAGGGGTTGTGATTCTTTGACTTTGATATTGGCAGAAAACGTGAGCATAGATGCAGTTATAGCAATGCAAAAGAACTTTTGGGCTTGTATCATTTATTTTGTTCGAGGAACGGCATAAACTATACCAGCAAGAGAACTCTTTGCCAAGTATAACGTACATCTCCACTAGGGGGGGTTGCTGGTATAGCTGTAGTGGCAAACTCTCAGAAGCGTAGAAAAGAACTATGACTTACCAATTCAACTTATTACCGGATGCACATTATAGTTTTGTCCCTACACATTTATGTCTGTTTCTTAAACAATTGTTACTTAAATATTTTAAACATAGAAAATGAGCAGAGCAATGCATTAAAGAAATGAAGGTAGAAACTGGTACGGCCAGAATGTTAGCACAATAACTCAGACAAAGTAAAGGGGAGAAAGTAATCTCTAAAAGCATTGTCTACACTACGAGTTTTGTCAACAAAAGGCAGCTTTTCTCAACAAAATAGTGATGGTGTACATGCTACAATGCAACTTTTGGCAACAAAACAAAATAAAATCACCTCAGCGAGCGACATAGGGCTGTTTATGGCAAAGATTAATCGAAAAGAATTAATTAAAAGATTAATTGTCATTGTAGATACCATGCTTGGTTTTGTCACCAAGAGATGTCCCACAATGCCCATCCTGACCACGCTGGTTTGCAGTTCAAACTCCCCTGCAGCCAGGTGTGACACATGGCCAGAAAGGGTTAAGGACAGGGTTGCAAACTTTCTAATTGCACAAAACCAAACACCCTGGCCCCGCCCCATGCCCTGCCCCTTCTCTGAGGCCCTGGCCCTGCTCACTCCATCCCCTCTCCCTCTGTCGCTCACTCTCCCCCACCCTCACTCACTCATTTTCACCAGGCTGGGGCAGGGAGTTGGGGTGTGGGTGGGAGGGAGGGCCACAGCTGGGGGTGCGAGCTCCAGGGTGGGGCCAGAAATTAGGGGTTCAGGGTGCAGGAGGGGGCTCCAGGCTGGGGCAGAGGGTTGGGGTGCAGGCTCTGAGGTGGGCCAGGGATGAAGGGTTTGGGGTGCATGAGGGGGCTCCAAGCTGGTAGGTGGAGCTGAGGGAATCAGAGTGTGGACTGAGACAAGGGGTTTGGATGTGGGGTGGGGTATGGGCTCGGCTGGGGATGTGGGCTCCAGGGTGGGTCCTTAAATGAGGGGTTTACTCAGCTCTGAGCTAAGGCAGGGAGTTGGGGTGTGGGAGAGGGTGTGGGCTCTGGCTAGCACTTACCTCGGGGGGGTTTCTTGGAAGCGGTGACATGTTCCTCAACTCCTAGGTGGAGGCGCAGCCAGGCAGCTCTGCACACTGCCTCCACTCACAGGAACCATCCCCACAGCTCCCATTGGCCGCAGTTCCTGGCCAATGGGAGCTGCAGAGCTGGCACTCAAGGCAGGGGCAGCGCACGGAGCACCCCTGGATGCACCTCCACCTAGGAGCCAAGGGACTTGTTGCCACTTCTGGGGAGCTGCGCGAAGCCAGATAGGAAGCCTGCCAGCCCCACCAACTGGACTTTTAATGACCTGGTCAACAGTGCTGACTGGAGCCGCTAGGGTCCCTTTTTGACTGGGCGTTCCGGTCAAAAACCAGACACCTGGCAATGCTAGTTAAGCATCCTGTAGGATAAATGACCCAAATTCAAACTTTAGGGACATATTGTGTGTTTACATATATATTGTTAGAGGTTAATAGTGTAACCAAATGGTTTCTGCCTATGCTGTATTCTGTTAATTCAGAGATCAAAAGGAGATCTTAACATTTAAATGAACTGTAAATATAGTGATATCACTGTATTGATCTCTTTTTGAATGTATAGCAAATCACTTGTAAATAATGGAAAATAGGCAATTGCCTTATGTTAATCCATGTAGCTAATTACCATGATGCTTTGGAAAGGGGCCTACTTCAAAGTCCTGATGATTACCTATTGTTCGCCTAAGGACTCCGAGCTGTCAAGAGAAGGCCTGGAACTGTATAAAAAAACCATTGGGTCCTGATCCTTTTAATCTCAGATCTGCTTTATGCAAGGGAAGCTTAAGTCGTAAGACTGAGATCTCCAGTCCCACCTGGATCACCCTGCATATCAACATTAGACTGAATCTATGGACTAATTCTAAGAACTTTTTGTAACTCCAAAGTTTACCATCTCCACTATGAAACTGATCTCAGAACTGTACTCATGTCTGTAATGTATACTGATCTTTTAACCAATACTCTCTCTCCTTTTTTTAAAAATAAATTTTAGTTTAATTTATAAGGATTGGCTATAAATATGTATTTAGGTAAGAGCTGAAATATTCATTAACTTGGGAGGTGGTGTGTCCGATCCTTTGGGATTGGTAAAACTTTGATATTTGACTTGGGTGTCTGGGTGGAAGCCCAAGGCTGGCTTACCATAAGGGAACTGTTTATTGGCTTCTATGCAACCAATAAGATATTGTAGAAGTTGTTTTGTGCTGGTTTTCTAAATCTAAGTATCGGAATATCCCCCAGCTTTGGGGTTTGCCCTAATTGAGTAACCTCAGTGTGGCTCCCCTGGGACTCTGTCACACCAGGTAAACAAGCATCCATCCCTCCCCCTTTAAACGCCCCGGGGATTTTTGAAATTCCACTTCCTGTTTTCTTGGTATGGAGAGCTCACAACGCATCTTCCCAGCTGATCATGGCACCTCCACACGGCAAATGCTCTCCCACATGGAGCACAGCTAAGTTGCTGGGTCTGCTCAGTATATGGGGAGAGGAGGCTGTCCAGTCCCAGCTATGCTCCAGCCATTGGAATTTTGATACCTACAGGCAGATTTCTCGCAGCTTGTGTGAAAAGGGCGATGACTGGGACAGGGTGCGGTACAGAGCATAGGTGCCGACTTTTAGTTTTCCCCAGGGGTGCTCCAACGCTGCTCCACGCCTTCTCCAAGGCCCTGCCTTGCTCCGCCTCTTCCTTCCCCTCCTCCCCGAGGACTCCACCCACTCACTGCTCTACACCTTCCCTGAGCTGCCAAATAGCTGTTCAGCAGTGGCCACTGATCAGCTGTAGTTGGTGGGTGCTGAACACCCACTATTTTTTTTCCATGAATGCTCCAACCCTGGAGCACCCATGGAGTTGGCGCCTGTGGTACAGAGTGAAGATAAAGTAGCTGAGACAGGCATACCAGAAGGCAAGGGAGGCGAACCGTTGCTCCAGTGCTACGCCAAAGACCTGCTGCTTCTATAAGGAGGTGGACGCTATCCTCGGCAGCGACACCACTTCCACCGCCAAGAGCCCCTTGGATACTTCGGTGGGACTGGAAATGGCAGAAAGTGGACCTAACCCACAAGACGAAGTCGTGGATGAGGAGGTGGAGTTGGAGGACAATGTGGAGCGCATAGCAGGGTTGCCCAATAGGGCAGCGAGTCAGGAACTCTTCACCACTCCAGAGGTGTCCAGCCAGTCCCAGCAGTCCCTCTCCAGTGAGCAAGAAGCAGGAGAGGAGACGCCGGTAAGTGATCTCTTTCTATTAATGCTGCTCGGTTATATGACATACAGCTGTTCTTTGTTTTGTATACTGTAAGACTGGATGAAGGGATAGAAATGTGGAAGACAAGCTGGGTTTGAGTGTGCTCCAAATTCCCCTGTAAAGATAAGCTGTGCGGTGGAACAGTGTGTTGATGCACAGAGAGATTACACAGGAATCCTCCAGAGAGGTCTCAAGGAATCTTTCCTGGAGGTACTTGCTAATCCTCTGCCGAAGATTCCTTGGCAGAGCTGCTTTGTTCCTTCCCCCATTGCAGGAAACTTTTCCACGCCACTCAGTAATCACTTATGCAGGGACCAAAGTGGCACACAGACGAGCAGCATAAGGACTGGGTCTGAAACCACAAGCATGCAGTAGATGCACCCTTGCTTACCCTCAGGAGTGAGATATCTGCTTCAGTGACCC